GCGTTTGACACAGGCGCAAAGGAAGCGTCTTTTGCCGATCTCTGCTTGCTTCCTGCGGACGTGCTTGTCTTCATCTTGGCCATCTTTCCAGTGAAAAGCTTACGTGAAGGGGCGCGCGCCAAAACTGTGTAAATACAGAGTTTTAGACGATCGCCCGAATTAGCAACACGCCAGTGCTGCTCCACTAGTATACTTACACATTACCGTCCCCAGTTGATCATGTTAAGAGTATCCTCTCCGAGGTGTCACCAAACGGTGGAGGGGGGGGGGGATTCAGAATAATTGAGCATATGATATCAGTATACCAGTGCGTACATTCAAGCCTTCTGGGCACAAAACGCGATATTCATATATTAATGCTTCTTCTAGGGACCCCCTTTCGTCACCAATATCATTGCGTAAAATTAAGAGCCCTGTTTTGTCACCGATACGATATCGGTATACCAATGCTTTCAATTAATCTGATTTGAGTTTATCTCAGTAAAAACTTCACCTGCACCAGCAAACGAAAGGGATCTTCACGAAAGACGATCCTCATGTTTGAAGTAGTGCAGGAAAGCCCTGAAAAAATAGTATACAGGGCGGTCGTTATAGAGCAGACACCACATAATAAGTGAGAGATGGTAAGACTAGTCTACTCGATTAACATGGTTACAATTGACAGAGCATGCTGACAAATAGCTATGGAAAATGCTGCTTACAACCTGTTTGCATATACACAAGGGTTGCTCTCCAAACTTAGAATATTTTATCCAGATAGCGGCGCACCTCTTTGTCTAAGATAAGGTACTAGGAAGTAAGTTGATCAAGCCCAACTGTCACGCAATGAGGACGCCTTATAGTTCTGTTCTGTGGACCCTTTTGTACTATCGGTCCGCTTTAGTACGATCGGGACTGTAGCGGGTACAGCCCAGGGCTGTTTCAAAATTCATGTGTAGTGTATTTTACCCAAATAGTCCTTCACTGATTCTTGAACCAATCCAACAACAAACCAGCCAACCTCTGTCGCAACATATATTATCATTTAACGGGGTCAATGCGCACAATGGAAAGCAGAGCAAACGAGGGCGAAGGAAACATGAGCGACGACACTGAGAATGTTGGCGTTACAACTCTCAGAACTGCACAAGACTCAGCTTCGCCATCAACAAAATCGGCGGCTAGTATCCGCAGGCTGGACGTCACTCATGACAACACAATCCACTAGCTGTGTGTCCACCAGCAGAACTCCGCCATCGGTACATGGAGCCCGTCAGGTGTCCATGTCGGAGATTCTTCCTCTAGGTCTTATGCCAACGTACTCAGTTAGATAATTGAAGGGTCCCATTGTTATTTATAATGTATGTAGGATGAATGAGGTCGCTGCTTGACGAGGAGAGACTTTGACCACTTCGGAAAGTTCCTCCACCTCGTCAAACACCGACCAAGATCCCGGAGGCATTCGCCCCGCCATCCCGCATTCAATTCTTTTTCTGTGCTACGAAATGCTACGTAAACGGCAGTCCATGCGAAGAAGGCCACCCTCAGACGCTGGTCTTGCGTCCACGCGGAGGCCTCGAACCTCGTCATTGCCAAGAACAGCGCGTATCTCCGCCCGAAGGACGCCACCCTCAGCATCACCAGGCAGCACGCGTGTGTCTCCATATCCATTGCGGGAACGAACCCCGCCACAGGCAGCACAACTGACTCCT